TCGGGTCGGGTCGTGGTCGGGTCGTGGTCGTGGTCGTGGTCGTGGTAATACGTGTCTTTGACACGTCCGCGTGAATACTATTTTTTTAGAGAAAATTCTTAAGAACCAAATGCAATACCACCAGTCGTTGCGATTTTGGACTATCGCAACGAACTTCTACTATCGCAATGCGAACTTGGACTATCGTAATGCGAACTTGGACTATCGCAATGCGAATATGTAAATCGCAATGCAAAAGTCGACTATCGCAATGCGAACTTCGACTATCGCATTGCAATAGTCCAAGTTCGCATTGCAATAGTCCAAGTTCGCATTGCGATAGTCCAAGTTCGCATTGCGATAGTCCAAGTTCGCATTGCGATAGTCCAAGTTCGCATTGCGATAGTCGACTATCGCATTGCGATTTACATATTCGCATTGCGATAGTCCAAGTTCGCATTGCGATAGTCGAAGTTCGCAATCGCAATGCGATAGTCGAAGTTCGCAATCGCAATGCGATAGTCCAAGTTCGCATTGCGATAGTCCAAGTTCGCATTGCGATAGTCCAAGTTCGCATTGCGATAGTCCAAGTTCGCATTGCGATAGTCGAAGTTCGCGTTGCGAATCTGGAAACTGATTTGTGATACCGGAGATCGCGTTGCGAATTATCGATCGCATTGCGATTTAGTTGGTCATTTTGGCAAATCCAAAAAAAGTTGGTTAAAATCATATATTATAAGGCATTTTTGGTCAATGAGATTATTTTCTCTAATTAATATTACCATGTTTTCTTTAGTTACATAGGTAGTTTAATAATCTTTTTCCAACTCATATCTGTTAAAAGTATAGACTACTCGATTTGAGCCACAAGCTTCCTAGCCCATTTTTGTTGTTGTTTGAACTTGCTTGTTAATGTTTATTCTCATATCGCATAGAAGGAAAATTTTCTAGTGATCTCCGTATTTTATTATACAAGAAACAGCATTTCAACTTCCCTATAAAATCCATGTCTGCAACATAAACCCTAATATTTCAATAGTTTTTTTTTTATTAAAAAAAGGTCTTTTCTTTTAGAACTGAATTAAAATTTATAAATATCACACGAACCTTATGATAGCGTCAATTAAACCCTTTGTTATATTTAAAGCGTCAATTTAATTTAGTTACAAATTATTGCTTAAAATTTATAATAATCATAATTTGGTCCTTATTTGACTTATTGTTCTTATATTATTTGGTGAAAATTAAGTAAAAAAACCTAGGAGCAAAAACTGTGATTAACCATTAACAATTGCACCAAACTTTGTTATTATTACATAGTTAACAAAAAATATATTTAAGTTATACTTTGATTTACAAAATATTTTATATTTTTTTTAAAAATGTATATATTTTTTATTATTATAATTACATATATATGATCATTGAATTAAGTTTCTAAATGTAACTAATATTTTTGAAATTTCATATTTATATATAAATATATTCTTAATATGTAATTGAAGTATATTTTATTTAAACCAAGATATTAAACTTTATATAGGAATATTTTAATTTATAGTTTTTTTAATATAATATACTTCAATTATATAGGTAGAATTATGTTTATATACAAATATATAAATTTAAAATTATGAATTAGGTTCAAAATTTAATCGAATAATTATAAATATTTCATTATTAAAAAGTGGTAAAAATATTGAAATTAGTTTAAAAAATACTAAAACCTTTTATCAAGAACAGTTTAGTTTATATATAATTTTTTCCAACCATATGATAGTTATATAACTTAGTGCATTGGTTAAGTGTTAATTTAAGTATTGTATCCTAGGTTTGTTCTCTTTAAAATCTAGTTTATATTGTACTGTAAAATCCCACATCAACTACAATTTAAACATACATAATTTTTTTGTCAGTCAAGAATTTTTTTTAAGCTTGGTGCAACGGTTAAGTATTGACTTTTTTAGAGGTCCTAAGTTTGATTCCCTCTAAAGAAAATCCATATTTTCCTTAATCTTCAACGATAGGTTGATGACACGTGTCATCCTCTTATTGGATAAATTATTTATAATTAAAATTAGGATTACATTGACAGAATGTGGATGTTATAAAGAATAAATGTGTCATTATTGCAATTAAAAAGAAGCAATGTCAACAATTCCGTAAGTGACTAATGACACCTTAAAATCATGTTACTTGATTGAAATAAAGTTGAAGTTTATTGACCTAATTGATAGAATATTTTGTTGAATGATAAAAATAGAATCACACCCATAGTTTAATGAACTTGAAAGTAGTTTGCTCTAAAGCTTACAACTTTTAAATAATTAATACTACCATATTTACTTTAGTTACATGGGTAGTTTAATAATCTTTTTCCAACTCAGATCTGTTAAATGCAGAGACTACTCGATTTGTTAAAGCACAAGTTAAAGCTTAGATTGGTTGATGTACGATTAGCTCAATGAGGGACGTCCTTTCTACTAGTATCATTCACTTTTCCTTTTTGCTATCCCGCTCATTGTTCCATGAACTTTACTATCAATTTTCAATTCTTAATTTCCTTGGACGCTAATGTTAGTATGTTGGGAAACAAAATTCTTTAAGCCATGTATTCTACGCTTGAGAAGTAGTGTATTCTTGACCATATTTCTTTGTGATTAAAATAAATAGGATATTATAAGTTCTTGCGAGCTGTATCATATATGAATACATAACTGAATATTTATAAAATAGCTCTGATAGTTCTAATAACTTGCAAGGATAGCTTAATTGGAAGAGTGTCAGACTGAAGATCTGAAAGTCACGTGTTCGTTCCACGTTCATCGCATATATCTAATATTTTCCCGTAACAGTTTCCTAGCCCATTCTTATTCCTCTTAAGATTTGGCATTGGCGCACTCGTAACTGCACCAAAACCATCCTCTCTTACCACTACCAACTTTTTTTCTTTTTTTATATGATTTACTGTTTGAACTTGTTTTTCTTTTTTTAATGTTAATGTTTGTTCTCGTATTGCACGGAAGGATAATTTTTTAGTGATCTCCGTATTTTATTACACAAGAATCAACCTTCCAACTTCCCCATAAAATCCATATCTGCAACATAGACCATAATATTTCAATAGTTTTTCAAAAAAGAGGTCTATTCTTTTAGAACTGACTTGTGATTGATTGGCTCAATTTTTAAGGATGATTTAAATTTTATAAATATCACACGAACCTTGTGATAGCCTCAATTAAACCCTTTGTTACTTTTAAAGCGTCAATTTAATTTAGTTACAAGTTATTGTTTAAATTTTGTAATAATCATAATTTGGTCCTTATTTGACTTATTATTATTATATTATTTGGTGAAAATTAAGTAAAAAAATTTAAATTTTAGAGCGGTTTGAATTTAGGAACTCCAGTGTGGTCAAAGCTTAACCAATACACCACGCTATGTAATAGATTTCTGGTTGACTAAAATTATATTGAGATTAAACCTTATTAGATGTAAAATTTAATAGGAAAATATTTATTAAGTTTTAAAAAGATCAAACCTAGGAGCTAGAACCGGGATTAATTGTTAACCATTGCACCAAACTTTGTTATTATTAAATAGTTGACAAAAATATATTTAAGTTATATTTTGCTTTACACAATATTTTATATTTTTAAACAAAAGTTTATATTTTTTATTATTATAAGTACATGTGTGTATATATATATAATATGATCATTGAATTAAGTTTCTAAACCTAACTAATATTTTTGAAATTTTATATTTTTATATAAATATATTATTACATATGTAATTGAAATATATTTTATTTAAAACTAGATATTAAACTATATATACATTGAATTCTAGTTTTTGTAATATAATATACTTCAATTTAATTGGTATAATTATGTTTATAAACAAATATATAGTTTTAAAATTATGAATTAAGTTCAAAATTTTTAATCGAATATTTATAAATATTTCATTTTTAAAAAGTGGTAAAATTATTGGAATTAGTTTTAAAAAATAAATTCCTTTTACCAAAAACCTTAGTGCTGTGGTTAAGTGTTAATTTAGGTATTGTGTCTTAGGTTTGTACTCTTTGAAATCTAACTTAGATTTTATTATAAAATCTGACATCAACTACAGTTTAACCTAATTAATTTTTTTTGTCAATCATGAATTACTTTTTTAGCTTGGTGCAACGGTTAAGTATTGATTTTTTTAGAGGTACTAAGTTTGATTCCCTTTGAAAAAATCCATATTTTCCTTAACTTTCACCAATAAGTTGATGACATGTGTCGTCATCTTATTGGATGAATTATTTCTTATTAAAATTAGGATCAGATAGAATGTGGATGTAATAAGGAATAAATGTGTCATTACTTCAATTAAAACCAAACCACGTCAACAACTCCTTTAATGACTAATGAAAACTTAAAAGCATGTTTTTTAGTTGAACAAAATTGAAGTTTATTGACTTAATTGATGGGATGTAACCCCTAAAACAAGCGTGGACATTACGACAAAAATCTAGACAGTCACATGTCGTATTCAGAAGTTCTTTTCAAATTTAAAACATAATTTAAATTCATATAACAATATAATTTTGAACTAACCATTAGTGAGGTTCATACGGTAAACATATATATACATATATCCAAAAAAACCCATATAAAACATATACATAACAAAATGTTGGCAATACAGATACATCAAAACAGTAGCAAAAACAAGTTTCACCAAAGCATAACAAATATGACATAGAGATATAAAATGGTACAAAAGTGAGGAGTGATCGGTCCTCTTAATGCCAAGTATGCTAGTCTACTGTCTGCTAGTATTTGAAAAGGTTAAAAAATTAAATAGTGAGATAAAAAACCCAATGTGCTCATTGCAATGTATAAAAACATACAGATAAAATACTTCAACAAAATTAGTTCATCACCAGATTGTGTGAGTTCCCAAGAACCATACACTCACCCTTACACCCGGTAAGGGTCTTATATGTGTCAACAATAACTTTTCGTCCCCGTCTTTTAATACATTATTATTATTATTATTATTATTATTATTAATGTTACTTATTATATTTTACAGGCCCAAGACCCAGTTACAAATATCAACCCAATTACAAGATGTTGGTTCAAGCTCAAGTGTGACCCGGTTCAGTGACCCGACCTAGTGAATTTAAGATTTGCTAAAATCCTAATCCTAAAGCAAACTGCCACCAACTTCAACTGTCATCCACGCATGCCTCCTACTGCACTGCCAAGTCAACATAGAACCATCACCAAATACTTCTAGAAGCTGTCATCACCTGATCATCTCAGCAAATGTGACTAGATCAAAACCAAAGTCAACAAAAAATATTATAAGTTTACCTAAACCTTTGAAATAAAAAGAAAACCCCGAAAATTACGGGATTAAAGATACATGTTTCAGCACTAATCGAAGAAAAAGGTGGATTCGAAACAACCATAAATAGGGGAAATTTCAATAGGGAAGGGACCAATGAGGAATCAATAACAGAAAGAAAAAAACACTCATCAGGGGACGGGGAATTTCTTAGTTAAAAGAGAGAAATTTGTAAAAGGTTTCCATATTCTCTTCGACAGAAGCAATACCAAGCAGGAAACATTACGTTATTTCTTCAGTCCATATTTTTTTTAATTTTTTATCTTCAAGATTCTTTTTATTTTGTAAAGAATACATATAATAATAAAAAAGAGGGATTTGAGTAAATTTACCTGCGTTGTGTGAGTTCCAGTGGAGTCTCGTTGACTCCATCACCGTTCGGGTTCGGGTTCTGTCATTAGAGAAGACGAATTGATGTTAGCCTTGGTAAATAAAAATTTCTGAATCGAAACAGCAAAGAGTGAGATAGTGAGAACTTACCTTGGCCGCGAGACAGAGTGTCTGGAGATGAGTGGTTGTGGTTTGGCTTCGAGAGGTTTAGGGACTGACTTTGGTCCTTTAGAGGTCAATTGAGAGGGTCTCGGTTGAAAGTATAAGGAGTGGGTGTCGATTTGGAGCAATAGAGATGGTTTCCATTTTGCTTTGGTGGGGGTCTCGTTTGGTTGGCCTTAGAACGTAGACGTTGAGAACTAAGTTAGGGATGATTTGTGGGTGTTCGGGTAAGAGTGGCCTGCCGGCTACGCGAGTGAAGCTTTATGACTATCGCCGAGAGAAAGAACGAGTGAGATTAGAGTCAGAGAATCGTGGCCACCACGATGCGTTGTTTGGCCATGTGGTCTTTGTTGGAGCCATGATGGTTGTTCGTTGTGTAGAGCTTTGTGACTCTCGGTCGAGAAGAATGAAGGAGGCAGAGAGTTGGGGAAGAAGAAGAACGGCGCAGGGGTGTTTACAAATAAAAATTAGGGCCAATTGTCATTTAAAATAATAATATATTAAATCTCTAAAACTACATCGTATGGGTGTTAGGGAAATACCCAGTTCGCGCATGGGTTATCTCTTGGATGAGCCATTCATATTTCAGGTTTCATGCGTTTTGATCCCTAAATCAAATATTTCCTTGTTTCCAATTTCGCATCTTTATTTTATGAATTTTTAATTTTGGTCCCTAATGTTATGTTATTTAATTTTTGTTACTTTAGACATTTAACTTCTGTATTTTGCATGCTTCTTTTTAGTCCTACACATGTTTAGGGTTTATTTCGATGTCAGTCCTTTATAATGGTATTTTGTTTTGTTTCAGTTCCATCATTTATTTGTAGTATAATATTTGTATTTTTGTTCTAATTATTATTTTGTTTGCATTTAAGATTGTAAAGTCATTTTTAGTATTAGTTAGTCCTCATTTTAATAATTATAATTTTTTTCTTTGTTTTTATTTTTGTATTTTAATCATATTTGGGTATCATATGTAAATATATATATATATATATGGTATATTATAATTAATAAATATATGTATATAATTTTTGTATATCACATGACATGGTTTTCTTGATCATAATATTTATCTAATTAATTTTGGCATGACATCTTTTTTGTATAATTTGTATGATATCATCATAAGCATTTCTTGACTCGAACCAAAATAAATTTACTAAGGGTAATATTCTATCTTTTTAAAATTACTAAAAGAAACTTTGTGAATATTTAATCTTTTTTAATATATAGCATTAAATATTAATACTAGAACTTACATTTTAGGTTTGAGATCCTAGGTTCCTTAATTTTCTTAATTTGACACTTTAAGTTAGAAAAAAACTTTAATTTACTTTTAGTTTAATTAAGACAAATAAAATTTTGTTTGATTGCATTGTTTTTACAAATCTAAGGCACTGTTCATTTATTAAAGAATTAATAGTATATCTCTCGCGATCGTGCTCAGGGGGTGACTACTGGTAATTCCCTAAATAAGTCGACATCATTTTCAAAACCACATCATGTTTTCTAAAAATGAGGCAATATTCGGTTATTAGGCACAATAGCTGATCTCTCGCATTTATGCTCGGGGGCAAATGCTATCGGTCTCGATAAGAGAATACCCTTTTCAACTTTGCATCTTTAATGATTTTTAAATTAAATAAAGATCTAACTTTAAATTTTTGATTTTAAATATAGGGTAATCAACTAGGTACCAATTTTTGGGCGCTTGTGGGGGTGTTAATCCGTCCCCACGCGTAACTGACTCCCGAACCTGATTTCTGGATTTTCGTAGACCCCAAAACTTGGAATTTTTTTAAAATAAAATGTTTTATTAAAATCACCCAATTTTTATGGTGTTCCAATCTCACCTTATATGAGTGGTGGCGACTCCTAACCTTTCGAAATATTTTCAAAAAGAAAATGCCCGAGTCGATATCGGTCTTTCCCCTCCCGGGCGAAGAACGGTTACGACAATATGTATAGCATAAGGACTTGCGATAAGGACTTACCTTGTGCACAAAGAAGAGGAGCATGCGGTAAGGTTTTATAAGTCATAAACTAGGCTTAAGATACTTCCTCCAATAATACCCTCATAATAAACATGTATGTATCTGAGTGAAAACAATAGTTTAATTCATTAAAACATGAAAATATTCCATATTCAGAAATCATATACAGAAATATAATAACTAGAAATCATATCAGAAATATAAAGTAAATCAGATATTAAATCAATGGTATTTAGAAAATCAGATATTATGTCATAAAAATATTCAATATCATCAGAATTTTGAAACAGTTCAGATAGTTAGTTCAAAACAGTAATGTAACACCATCAGGAAACACACCTGTATTGGTCTGAGTAGTCTGATAAGATAGCCTACTGCAGAGTCTACCTATCACAATCAGCGGTAGTGCTAGATCCTACGAATCAGAAAATCTATATCACAACCCTAATATGAATAATAATAACCTTTATTTAAACAATTTACGAAAACCTATGAGTAACTCTCGAAGTATACAGATAGTGTATATCTATCATATGAGAAGTATTGGATCTAGTCAACCCTCGATTGGGAGAAACATGATTATGTTCATAAAAATATATTAGTGAATCAATTCCATAATCAAATCTCAAATAAGTAAGCAAAAATACTAAAAATACTAAGCATTTTCAGGCTAGTTTAGGCACAATGAGACACAAGTTACACAAGTTTAGAACTTTGGAATAGGAAAAACACTTAGAAAATTCCTTCCAAATTTGTTATTTCCGGTGATAGAGAAAAGCAAGATTGTGTTCGACTGATCACTAAGATTGTGCTTACTGTTGTGATCATTTGTTGTTGTTTCCTGGGAGACCGACGTCCAATGTTACTCAAAGAACCTAGGAGAGGACGAATCTATCTTAAGGAAACTGTTCATGCAGGCATCAACAAAAATCCTTTTTCGGTTTATCATAGTCTACTCATCTGATTCCGTGTCTACACATGAGTAACAAGTTTCATTCTTCTATTTTAATTCTTTATAATTATTTTGTTTCGTTCGATTATATATTATTATTGTTATTATTATTATTATCTCAGATTAATCATTTTGTCTAACAATCTTAAGACAAATTCTTTCTTATTTTAAATCCGAGACGAACTTGATTATAAGTTTATTCTTAATTGTACGAATGAAGCAAAAAGATTTACTGCCATAGGAGGAGCATTCGAAAGTTATCTTTTTATATGGAGATTGTACTTTATGCAATGAAGTCCATATTCCTCAATAATAAATTGAGGTTTTGAAAACATATTCAAATGACATGGGGCAAGATAAAGCATTGCCTATCTATAAGGTAACCTTGCTTTAATGTATCTAATGATGATTATTGATGACTTGTAATGCAATTTGTAAATTCAAAGTAAAAAAAATTGTGGTTCAAAGCAAATTCAAAGAAATTTACGAGTCAAAGTTGCATCTTAATTTTTCATTTAGAGTGAAGAAAGAATTGACATGTTGGAAAAGATTTCTATCTCCAAATAAAGGTTCTTAAAAACCATGTTGGCTTTCGCGCATTGAAGATTGATTATGCGTTTAGCATTGATTTTGGTGCAATTTCACTTCAATACATATTGTTTTTATGGTGAGAAATTTCTATCACATAAATTTATAATTATTTTTCAAATACATAGTTTTTTTAAGTCATCTTAACCTTGGAAAAGCTTGCATATCCATTGGGTTTTAAGTCATATTAAAATTCATTGATTTATTTACTTTATGGTGTTATTACACAAGGAAATGAATAATTTGATGAGTCATTTCTAATGGCTAATAATTGTGGTGGTTGAAATCACATTGACCGTACAGAAAGGACATTGCACATGTAAAAGGCTCCTAGAATATTAACAAATAGTTATCTTTGTGCTCAATCCTTAAGGAATATTGAAGGCATTATAGATGCATAGGGTAAGGCCCCATTAACTTTGCGTTATGACTTCAGAACCTTTTGCAGGTTCAAAGAAAAGAATCTCTATTTTTATCCCGTCCACAAGCCTTGATGTAACGTGATAAGTCTCGTATTTTGTTTTTGTGATGAATGGTGAATTTCGATCAAGAAATAAAAAATGTATGTGTATTTATACATTGAGATTATATTACTATTTCAGGTTTTATTAAATTCCCACCTCTCAACATAAGCTAGTTTTGTTCGAGAATTAATTTATTAAATTCTCGTCGTTTAACAGAAATTGGTTCTATTTTGGGTTTTATTCCCGTTGTCCACTAGAGTTGGTTTTGTTTCGGATTTTAGTTTTAAATTGTGACATTTGACAAATTCAACAAAATAGTGTTTATTGTGAATTTCTGTTTCGAGTTTTAGTTTTACTAAATTTACGCCGTTTAATAGAAATTACTTAATTGTTAGATTTTAGTTTTGACTAAAATTCGTTGCGATAAATAAGGTACCGAACGAAATTATGATATGTATGTGAGAAAAAATTGGGCCTATAATTCTGTTTCAGGATTTTAATCCTGTTATTCAACAAAATTTATTTGATTTACTGTTGATAACAGAAATCGTTTGGAGGTAACAACATTGTTAAAAAATTTGTTTAATTTTTTTAATTTATAATTAAATTTTGTTGTTCAATAGAAACAAATGGTAAAACAAATTGAATTAACTTTCAATTTATTGTTGGAATATTTACAAATTCTGGTTACATGTTTTTAAACGAAACAATGGTAACCCCACTGATTCACCTAACTCATGATTTGAAATGTTTATTCCTATTCAAACTTTTAATAAAATTCAACGATGTCAGTGGTTGTGAGCCACAACGAGATGCATGTGAAATTCATGGATAGAATTTCAAGACATAGCGACATAAAATGTTATATTTAATCATGCTAAATATGGTCAAATATAGGATGATCCTCCTATTCATAGAGATGATGAGATAGACATTGTTTTCATTAAAATTTGAAAGCATTCTAAGTTTTTATGTCGGAATTACATTTTGAATGGATTGTCAGATACACCATATGAAGTGTATAGTATCCATAATATTTCTAAAGAATTATGAATGACATTTGGCCATGTTCTAAGTTGTCAGCAAATTACATTTAAATAAGGTAACTTACAAGAAAATATGTGAGACACCATATGAGTTATGAAAATGTAGAAAACTTTCCTACAACTACATCAAAGTGTTGGGGTGCCTTGTATAAGTATAATGATAAGTCGAGACACATACGTCGTCGACATAATATCATTAAACAATTGATCTCAACTAGAATTATCTATTTTGATTTTGTAAGATCAAAAGATAACATTGTGGAACCGCTAAACAATGAGTTGAATCGAGATCAAGTTGATAAACATCGAAAGGAATGTGATTAAAGCTCATTAATATTTAAGGTGCTATGTGAAGGAATACCCAACTTAGTTGACTAGAGATCCCAAGA